TCTCTCTCTCTCTCTCTCTCTCTCTCTCTCTCTCTCTCTCTCTCTCTCTCTCTCTCTCTCTCTCTCTCTCTCTCTCTCTCCCATCACATTGCTCCCGTCTCTGCTTGCAGCTGGTCATGTGGGTAGGCATGGCTTCGGTGTGCATCTTTGGGCTTCTCTGTGCCATCCTTTCCTTCCGCATCACCAAGTACTTCAAGCGCCCGATCGACTACAAGGACTACGTCGACACGGCGATCGGCGGCGGCGGCAAGAACAGAGTCCACCAGATGGAGGCACCGCGCCCCGTCATCATCACCACTCTCGATAAGTAAGCATTGTCGTCTCTCTGCGTTCGCATCGGAACTATAGAGGCTCCGATAGGCTTCAACATAGGCGTCGGGGCTATGGGGAGTAAGAGATCTCGATCTTATACTTTACATGTGGTCTGAGAGGCGTATGCGGTGCGCGAAATTAGCGCTATTTTGCCGGCAGCCGCCGGTTCAACCCCCCATATAATCAGTCGACTTGGCCTATTCAAAATTTTGCATATCTTGCCTTTATATCAACAATATTTACCAATTTCCTGACTAGTTTTTACTTCACTAAGACTCTACTCTACTTAATACAAACTGTGCAAATAAATGCTATGAGTATGCCTAATAAACATGAAGCTAATTGCTTTTATTAATAATGGAATCAATTGAACAAAATTAAGAGCCTATTCAAACTTGTAAGCGCCTGTCCAATTTGTCTAAGGGCTTGTTTAAAATTTTGGGTAGGCCTGTTCACATTTTGGCTAATTTCATGCCCTGCGTATGTGTTCATTTCTGGTATTTGGTTGTGTTGTAGGATTCCTACTGATAAGCCTCAGGCGGTGCACGTCACTGTTGTGGATCCATCCAGCAAGCATCCGAAGGTCTGATTTCTTTCACAGGTCTGGATACCATTAGATTAGCTGTTCTAGTTTATACAGTACTATACTATATCTCACGTTGTTTATCGTTTATCAGCCTGGGGCAAGTTGTCAGAAACAATATTTGTCTTAACATTAGCATTAGCATTAACTTTACGATGTTTCTGACAACAGCCCCCCTGATTTTTATGTGCTGAATTAACTATGAACATCGATTTGGGTAAAAGCTCAAACGTACGCTGAAATGAATGCTAGCTACTTTTGCAAATACCTGGTACAATTATACATGTAGAATAAGGACCCATCACAGTTACATTTAAGTCAGTGGTGCTTTACCCTTTTTTTGGGTCATGGACCCCTTTGAGAATCTGGTGAAAGCTATGGACCCCTCCCCGGGAATGCACATAAGAGCACATAAACACATTTTTTATGTGCCTGGTTCACGGACCCCCCTGAAGCCCATCCACGGACACCAAAGGGATCCATGGACCACAGGTTAAGAACCCCCTGATTTAGGTACTTTTTGAGCACTGATAACAACACATACATTATTCATTTTCAGATTTATCCGAAGATTCCTAACACAGTCTGAACCAAAATACAAACCCAGCCTATCCATGCCACGGCCGACTTAAGCCATGATCGTAAATTCTCTTCATATATACAGTTTCATAACAAAAACAAGAAGTATCCACAAAGTAAAGCAGATGAGGTCTATGTCTCCCTGGGTACTGCCGGAACGTACCCTGGGTACGGTCCGGTATACCGGAACGTACCCTGGTAACTATCTGATGTGGTTAGGGTTAGGGTTAGGGAGTAGGCGTAGGCGACTCCCTAGACTCGTTAGTGGAGTAGGCGAGGCACAGTCCGGCATATTAGATAGTACCAGGGTACGTTCCGGCAGTTCCCTGGGGGACATAGACACTACGGTCCACAGTAAACCCCCATGTGCGCGTACACAACTGGATGTGCAGATATCTCTTTAAAAATTCCTCGAAAGTTAAGTTAAGTTTTTTACATTAGGATAATTGTTCAGTTGCTTATGCATAATACAGACAGCAAACTTGTGATTCCGATATCCGTGATATTGGTGTACAAACTGTTATATGTGTCCAACCTATTGACAGTAAATATACTTAATTAGAGATAATAGTCAAACAATTTAATATAAAAAAAACAGACACAGATTATAATAGGGTTATAGTTTGAGTAATATAATTTTAAAATATGCATTGTTTTAATTGGGTTGAACCTAATTATGTTTTAAAGTTGCCATGTGCTCCGCTTAAAAAACTACAAACAAAATTTCAATAAAGACAGTTCTTAGTAATTAAGCGTTTAGGCTTTTTCTTTGTTTATCGTTACTACCGGCTACTGCCACACGTATTTCACAAGTCGGTGCCAACAAATTACATGGCACTTAATAACAGCTCAAAACATAATGACGAAATGCTGACGTGTGTGATTAAACATTTTATTGTTCATGGTCCCACAAGTACAATGTACAGTGCGTCAACAACAACGGAAGGTACCATCACCCAAGTCCGGCCTGTTAAACCGTGTCCGATTCACGATAATATGATTCTAACCAAAAATAACAGTTGCGACCGTTAATGGAGCTTCACCTGTTTACAAGCTGCTCCCGAAAGCAACAGATTTGCTGGCTTTTTATACCTCACATTTTACGACCTCACATGAACAACGATAGAGGAGCATACGGGTATAAATAGATCCTTGCAAAAAATATGCAATAATACCATTAAAGTATATACCTTAGTAGCCTGTGCCTCAGAGATGGTTGCGAATGAAAACACATTTCTCACATTAAATCACAACGTGTGTTACGTAACACATACACGTTAACGTTACTAAACAAGTAACGCCATATAAATCTGTTGTGATTCGCGCCCTGCTTAGCTTGATAAGCGTTCGACCGTAGATATAGAATACAGAATAAGTCTATTGTTTCCCTATTGGCTCTATTGTTTGGCAAAACAAAGCCTGCAGCCTAGTATATATTTTGTCAGCTTTCCATTGGAGGCAATAATATCTAATCATGCACAGGTGTCAGGATGTATTATGGTTATTAAAGCAATACAGTTATTATTGCAAGAACACGACATCTCAAAAATAGTAACCACAACAACGAATGTGAATCATGTCAAAAATGCAACGTCTCGTAATTTTAGTAATAAAAGTAAATCAAACGGCATGGTTATATAAAAACAATCTCCTAAAATTGATAGTAAACTATAATAATTAATACGATAAAATACATTACAATGCAATATATAGATAGATAGCACTTCATCATCAACATCGTCATCACAACCGTAAGACAACGCCCTACAATCATCGCTAACGATCGTTCACATACTCATTAGACGACACTAAAAACCTGACCGCCGTAATTTTAAACGTAGGGGTTGTTCAGCGACAGATTACAGGGGGTTGATAAACGTACATATCGAGCTCATTATTATTATTCATCAGTAGCCACAAACTACAGGCCTCTACCATTGATGTGTTAATTAACTTATGATGACGAGTGTTCAATTAAGCAGTCTACCAGGGGGGAGTACACATCCCACTACCGACTTTACGCTTGTACATGTACACCTACGTATCTCGGTCGTATACGCATTTATTACAATTTCAACTGTATCAATAAATCCTGTTCTTAATCGATTTCCTATATTGCGGCGGCACGTTATTTTGAGATATCTTATCACAGAAGTATGGTGCTTGATGTACATGGCCGTGGACAGGCCATGACGGACCGATGTCAGCCTAGCATCAACCACATTCCTACTGAAACCGCTGCAAAGGATAGTCTAATACTCGTCTATTCGACTCTCTTTAGACGAATCACAACCAAGTATTAATATTAACCGATGAAAAGCCTCAGATTGGACCCCCGGGTACATCACGAAGGTCATATAAAGAGCGCTAGCTACAAAAGGGGGAAAATATCTGTTTTGTATTCAGCAAGCGCGACGAAAAGGGACGCGCGGTTACAATGACAATACACCAACCGCAGCACTTCGATATTAAAGTTAGCCAGCGCTATCGACTTTTAATTTTATATTAGGCGATACATACATGGACGCTAGACACAACCTCTGCCATAAGAGAAGGTGATCTTCTCCGTCACTGGTCCCTTGATCGCACCAATGATCCTGATATCAAAACCCACCCCGGAAATTGTAGAAAACGCACAGCGTCAAAACGCAAGCTGTATATAAACGTGTGCAATCGCACGCGATATTATCATCATTACACTCGCTCGCATATCGAAAAAAAAAACACATCTCACAAGGCACGTCCAATTAAACAAAAACTCAAAGTATGCACCCTCACTCAGCAACTTGCCCCACTTTGCAACTACATCCCCAAGGTGATCTGTTCATATTATATTAATCACCGAAATGGATACATTCATTGCGTTCTTTGGACAGCGTGGATTCTGCAAGATTCGTTTTAGTTATTAATTAATTACATCGTATATATACTGCAAGCATAAGCCCTGAAACAGATCTAGACGGCTGCGCACGATGAGTGAGCGCGTTTTTGAAATCGTCGCCGTCTACGTCCGTAGCGTCGTTAATATAAAATTGTATATATTCAGACATACTTTCCACGCGTCATCGTCGTCGTGGCGTAACTCATCGTCGGTAGCCCTTCTGTCTGTTCATGTTGGTCAACATCAAACTGATATAGGACGTGAGCAGGTCGTCCATCTTGTAGCCCTGAAACATCGATCGTAACGTTACACGTAACATGTTATATGTGTTGTGTTATTCGGAGAACAGGGTAAAGCTAGCAGCACACTTCACCATTTTCGTTGCTCGTACAGGCAATTTTCGTGGTCGCCACAAAAATGGCCAAGTGTGCGGGGGCCGGCAACGACCACTCACCACGGAAATTTAGTGGTGACCACGAGTTGCCGAAAATCAAACCGGTTTGATTTCTCACCACGAAAATTGCTCGTGGTGGCAACTTGTGGTGAAGTGTGCTGTGACGCGGCAACGGCCACAAAAATTGCCGACCACGAAAATTGCCTGTACGAGCAACGAAAATGGTGAAGTGTGCTGCTAGCTTAACATGTTATTAAACGTAATGATAACATAAGATGAAATATCAATCGTAACATTAAATGCGATAGCCATCACTGAGGCAGGAAGGATCAACAATTAACTGACAAGATGCAGCAACGACTCTCAACATTCATAGGGTATATATAGCAGCAAATGGTACCAATTGAATTCCCAGATATACCACTGTAACATAGCACCCAGAACCCCACGGGTTGCTGGGCGTTCACCATGTTAGGGCCGTAGCCTCTGGGGGGGGCAAGGGGGGCAGCTGCCCCCCTAATTTTGGAGCAAAATGAACAAATAAGTTTAGCTAATAATCGTAAATAACCCTAACGTGATTTTTTCGGTCACTTATCTGTGAAAGCCATGTCTCAGAACCACCGCCTACCACACTATGGACGTCGATCAAGAACTGCTCATCGTTACACTGTTGAGTCATGAAATTTTGCCCCCTTTAGGAATTTACTCCCCCTGCGGCCCTGATAGAGTCGAGAGGAGAGCGGCACGGCTTACCAGCGAGGTTTCACACAGCAGTTTGCTGCCGCGAACCAGGTTCCCGATCGTCATGTGGAAGTACGTGTTGCCACTACTCCAGTTGGAGATCTTCGTGAACGGATGCATCGCGAGAATTTGCTGCAAAAAAAAAACCCCAAATCATTCACGGTACGGACCAAAGTAAGACAATAGATTGCAGACACGCGTCTCCACGTAAATTAACGTGTTAATGTACATATGCAGATTTGCTAATGATGGTAGTTCTAATCGATGTAATGGTGATGGCGGTAATTACCTTAGTTTCGGGGTTAATGAGGTTGACCCCATGCTTGTTAATTGCGATGAGCAGGACTTCCGGATAGTTTGGCTCGGTCGTTTGCTGAAGCAAGAGTGACACGAATGTTTAATACGTTAATATACTCATTATAATTACTGAATAATAAGGACTGACTCTCAACACTACGACGCACGTGTACACACGCACCATCGTCTGGTAGTAATACCACAAACCTACATAATATATAATATATAACACATAATATATAAACCTACATAATATATTGAACAAGTGCATAATGTAATCCCATAATACATACTTATATGCATACTATATATATATATATATATACACACTTCTATTATACTTCATATTTATTCATAGTAATACATAAGTAATTCATAGTAATTCACTCAACGACTGTCAGTAACACGTTAAATGTTAACTAGAAAGTACTGAGCGGCGACAACACAAATCCAAACAATACAAGCGGATCCGATAACGACAACAAAGGCGTCGTGACAGACGCGCGCGCCGCCGGACGACTCTCCTCGACCTCGACCTTGACCGCATATCTTGACCTCGAAGAACGCTGACCCGAAGGTCGTTAACGTAATACGACAGACGCGCGCCGCGGCAGACGACCGTGACCGCGTACCTTGACCTCGAAGAACGCTGACCCGAAGGTCGGCCATCTGAAGATGATCTTGAGGAAGGCGATCTTGGCATCCTGCACAGAGAGGGCGCCACTCTTGTTGTAGCTGACGACGATGCTCTTCTTCCAGTCGTCGTGCGTCTGAGCGCGAAGCAGGTTCGCCGGAACCAGCTCCCGCAGCATCGAGCTGCGGCAGGAGAAACGTCAAATTTACGTAACAGAGGAAATTTACGCGAGAATTAAGTCACACGAGATGACGTATAGTCGCCGATTCTCGCGACGATGCCGACGTATTAGGCCGATTAACATAATCTAATTAATAAAAATTAACGTGAACAAATTAGACCCAATTATTAAAAAAGTATTTATTATATTATTTATTAATTATTTATTATACACAAGCTTAGTATAGAGCATCCCATAGCTTAGGCCTCTCACAATGTCTAAATTTGGCCCTGCCAGCAACAGTCTGTGATAAATTACGCTATATACGCCCTCATATGGCCCCTCATTTTTGTGAAAAACTCGAGAAAAAAAAAATCGTTTGTAATATTAGAGTACATCGAGATTAAATATTTAGTTTCATTTTAACGTGCACTTGTGTTTTACGAGTCCGCCCGACCACCAGGGGACAGACGCACATGCGCATGATAATGCGGTTACTAACGGTGCGGGAACTTACGGAATGTTCTGGAACGCTCGCTTGTCGTCGCCGAACTTGACCCTGAATATGAGTGCTGCGAGCGAAGCGGCCTCCTCTTTAGTACAGCTGTGGTAGCCGCGCAACAGCTTGGGCAGCTCCTGCGGATCGAACCAAGCAACGCGGTTACAGATCAAACAAATACGCTAATTAATTCATTAATATTAATTATGGAATTTCTCCACGCTAAAATTTGACTCTGTTCGGCAGTAATTGATTCTCTGATCTTCTGCAACTTAATGTACGCCTACTATGTACTGCATCCATCATCCATCATCCATCCATCCATCCATACTGCATTTATCAGCGCGTAATGCCGACAACTAACGCAAGCAGACAACTAAATCGCAAACCTGGTGGAAGTGGAAGATGATGTCGGCCATCTTGTCTTTCCCGGGAACGGTGTTCGTCCACAGTTTCTTCATGAAGAACACTTGGTACGTGAACTGTGGCGTCACGTCTGCAAGCGCAGCAGTGAACATTCGGTTAACACTGTTGTGTTTACGTTAGACATGAAAGCATGTGTTTCTGTTTACAATGATGTTCGATGTTAAAGGTCACGATCGAGCCTCGTTTTGGCTACGTCATCGCTTGACTCCTGGATGACATTTACGGCACGTAAATGAATATCAACAACCGATTTCAAGTCTTGTTTGTAATGTAACCAGCAGTGATATTGGACAACCTAATACGCGTTTGGCTATAAGGTTATGTACTTATTAACTACACAAGGTGCCAGTTACTCTAGCATTCGTCCACATTGCATAATCAATGGACCTAGTATGCCTTTAAATAATAAAGCATACACTTACTATCTCTGGTCGGGCGCGCTTTCTTAATCCAGTCTGTCAGATGGCGCACAAAGTCGAAAAAGAAGTCTCCCTCTGGTACACTGATCACTGTAAATAGGTGTACACAACAACCCCGTATTACGTACAAGATATATAAAACATGCACGCACGCACGCACGTACGCACGCACGCACGCACGCACGCACGCACGCACGCACACACACACACGCACACACACCGACAAGCATTACGTCGCACATTCGTC